AATAATAATAATAAAAATACTGTCGAAATCACAAATTTATGAAACCACGGATATGTGTTTGGGGTCAATACTTTTCCCTAGCCATGCCCCCAAAATCGTTATGAAAGCTAACTGTATTCTCATGCATTGATTATTAATTGCTGTTGAACCTAAACAGTGGTTATGAACTCGTGTGCAGCAATTACGAAAATAACAAATTTAATTTCTGAAGGGCTCTTTTCAAATAATAACGATCAAATTACATTCCTATGAACGTAGACTTGTTTTAAAATACCACGTACTCTTCTCCCATGATTTGTGAGAGTGATTTTTTACATTTATTTCCATTTTTGGGTTTCAGTTGTCTATATAATAGCTTCAGGGCCGGAGTAAGAGGGGTGATTGTGGCGATTGCCCCGGGACCTCCCGCAAAACAGAAATACTCGTTTAATTCACAGATTTTATTGAAACTTTTGATTCTCTGAAATCACGAGAAGTTATTTTGTATTTTTAGATACTTCAGTGTATAAGAATTACCATAAACTAAATTGGTTGCTACTGATAGGGGACTCTGCATTTTGATGACGTCGCAGCCTTCACAACTGCAAATCCGGCTGTGTATGTTCTCAGTTGGACGACTGGGGTCCTCAGTGAGAAAATTATGCCAGACTGTCGCAGTAAATGAAAAGAAGTTCACGAAAGTGGAAACTAAACAAGATAGCAATCTACAGTTTTGGAAACTTACCGCGTTGAAAGGTTTCTGAACGTGTCTTAGATGCAGCGCCTGAAACTGCTTAGTACATTTGTTTTCTTCCTGAAGTTTCAAAAGCCGAATTCCTGAAAAGCGAAATAAACAGCATTCAACTCCATAGACTTTCTCTTTATAAAGCTGATAGTCGGTGACATGATCAATAAACTGTTCGAAGGAACCCGAAGATACATTTCCATATTCAGAAAAATCCTGGCGAACGCCTTATTTATTTTTTATGTTGAGGGGTTGATGGCTCCTGCGGGGGGTTACCCCAAGACTGAGGCTTACTCATTGACTGTTCATGGTTCCCTTTACAGCGTAGCGCAGCCACTCCCCATGCCTGGATGCCGTTTTCATCAGTGAAAATATGAGCAACCAGCAAGTCAGAATGATGTTGCGCAACATTCATGACTATTATCAAAATTAACCGAACTCTGAAACTGATTGAAATCGCAAGTCGAGTGTGGAAGAGCCGATTGGGCTTCGTTCTGAAAGTGAATCTCTGTAGCGTGAATAATAATAATTATCATATTTTCCTGAAAATGTACCCGGGAACACCATTCATAATAACCAAATGTGTCTGGTAGACACATGTTTAAATGCCGAGGATAAATATTTCATATACTGGTATAAGAAGCCGTAAGTGTGAGATATAACGAACCCAAACCCACTTGTAGAACGTTCGGTTACAGGATATGCTTGTTTCCTTAGCTTCCGGATATGAAACCTATGCAATGACCCGTGAAGACCCTCTCCACTGCCGTCTGCGCAACTCTCCCTTGTGCAACAGCCCCAACTCGATTGGAGATCTGATGCTCCCTTGTCACGCACTGGTGCCAGAAGTAGGACCTACTGAGATATAATGAGAAAGATTACCCATGCATCACACAGTCAGCAACAAATGAGAATCATTTTG